CACACACACACACACACACACACACACACTGACCCCGTTGAGAGTGACCCAGGGTACTCCAGTGTGGGGAGGACGGAGGTTGTCTGTCTTGACGGCCATCTCATGCTCTAGCTCGTTGCCTCGTTTGCTTACGGTGCAGTTCATGATATCTTCCAGGGGGACCGGGAACTGCTTGGCACACTGTGTCAGTCACACAAGGGTACGTGTAGTTACTTTGTGAGGGTACATATAGCTACTTTGTGTCACTGAAATAACTGATGCTTGGTATACTGTGTCAGTCACACGATGCGTCTCGTTACTTTGTGTCACAGAAATAACTGATGCTTGGCGCACTCTGCCAGTCACACAAAGATACGTCAAGTTACTTTGCGTCACTGAAATGACTGATGCTTGTCACTATGTCTGAGTCACACAAGGGTATGTCTAGTTACTTTGTGTCACTGAAATAACTGATGCTTGGCATACTGTGCCAGTCACACGATGCGTGTAGTTACTTTGTGTTACTGAAATAACTGATGCTTGGCGCACTCTGTCAGTCACAGAAAGATACGTCTAGTTACTTTGTGTCACTGAAATAACTGATGCTTGGTGCACCTAGTCACTTTGTGTCACTGAAATAACTGCTGCTTGGCGCAATGTCTGAGTCACACATGGGTATGTCTAGTTACTTTGTGTCACTGAAATCACTGATGCTTGGTGCACCTAGTTAGTTTGTGTCACTGAAATAACTTATGCTTGGCGAACTGTGTCAGTTACACAAGATATTAATTTGTTAACCGACTCATTAAACGTATATTCAAATCAAAACATCTAAATTAATTTAGAACTGAACTGCCAAAACAAAAATAGGCCTATTAAACCACGCATCAAACTCAACATTGAAATGCCCAAATAAATACCACACCTAGCAACTATCTAAACATTAAGCTGTCAATCTTAACACACTTGACTTAACTGACCAAATAAACGTATTGAGCCATGAAACTAGTAAAAAGTTTAACTTTCCAATTAAACTTAAACATATCAAGTCATCCAACTAAACAAACATATTTACGCCATTAAACACATAACAAAAGGAACGTAAGCCAAAGTCACAACAGCATCCCAGTAATTAAAATGTATAAAGTATGTATCACCTAAACTCATTACCTGGTCATCTAAGCTAGTCCTGTACAAAGGTGCCATGAACTAGCTAGCCAGCAGACAAACAAAGCCAGTATTGTACAAAAGTCTCCACTAACTAACTAGCCAACAGACAAACAAAGTCCCCATAGACCTGGTCTGACCTTCTCGGCAGCTGCCTTGATAGATACCGAAGACCCCTCCATACAGTTGATGAAGGGAAAGTACTGTGTCTTGTTCTGTACGATGGCGATGGTGCATGTCTGGGAAGAAGAGAATCGAAGACCACATACAGAAATGCATATCAATATCAGCAAAGATACGATCTATACTGACGCAATTTAATAAAGGTATAATGTAGACTAAAACAATAAGATCAATTGCATTTTGTTAAGTTTGAGATATGTTGAGTTCTTGACAAGTTAATCAACTCCAGAGTGTTAATCAATCACTAAGATTTTTTTTTAAACGAAGCAAGAGAAAAGAAACTAACTGGGAAGAGATAACAGAGTCTACATGTGACCTTCACACAACGGGACATAGCCTGCAACAACAGCACCTTCAAGTAACAGAGACACGAGGAGCCCACAATTTGCCATAAGATAATGTCATGATTTTAAGATGGAAAACTTATACACGTAATCTCTTTTATTCTCCCTTTTCATTCGTAAAAAAAGAAAGTCTATCGACATTGAACGTTAACATCTCTCCAACAGAATATGTTGTTGTACCGTGTCTCTATATTTACACCCTGACAGCAAGCAGCATTTCGTGTTTTTATTTTATTGATTTTGAATCACGTATTCATACCACACTTCAGTCCCTAAACCAAGCCCTGGTTTTAGGAGGAACCACAAAGCAAGTAATTAATCAAGTGAGGAAGAAAACAGAATGTCTGCAGTGGGTTTGATGAGGCTGTGACATACCCCAAAGCTATGCTCAGGTGTAGCGCCATTAGTCTCATACTCAACACCAACCGTAACAAACAAAAGACAGGTATTGTTTTCGCTACTGCCAAGAAAATACGTAAGGCAAAAAAACAAAACAACAACATCAATAAAAGAACAAACAAATAAAAAACAGACAAGTATAAAACAAACAAACAGAGACAATGATGAACAAAACAAACCAAAGAAAGAACCCCCCCCCCCTTTCCTATTCTTTCTTCCCGCCCCCTCCCTCATACCTCTATCAAAATGTTTAAAAACCTCTGTGTAAAACTCTTCCAGCAAGTCAAAGAGTACATTGCCACAATTTTCAAGCGTTAACAAAAAAATATATATATATAAAAATCGCTGAGCACATAAGTCTGAGATTGACCTGGATAATGTTTCCCAGGCATTCCTCCTCCCCGTGCTGACATTCAAACTTCCAAAGGTCCCCATCTTTGTGTTCCTGAAAAATAACATAATACATTGAGAAACATATGTGTACATAGAGTCTATAGATTTCGCTTGAAGCTATCACATAACAATAGATTGGAGTCAGGTCATTGTGACAGAAGATACTTTGTGATCATTCAGATTTAATGCACACAACATAATGTATACTGTGAATACTTTTTACAATATAACATTGCATGTCCAATTACTATTTGACAGATTGAAACCAAACAAGTGGTGTCGGTAGTCTAGTGGAAAGGCTACCGTACTCGTAATCATGAGGTTGTGGGTTTGGGGTTCAAACCTCAGGCCCGACGTTGCATTTTTGGGAAAGGCACTTTACACAATTAATTATCATCATTTCTTGTTCTCGTGTGGCACAACGATGAGCAAAACAACGTTTCGGTTTATCTTTGCGTCCCCGTAGGGCACCACAGTGACCAATAACAACTGTAAGGATTACCCTCGCGTTCCCGTAGGGCACCACGGTGACGTTCATGATGTGTCCAATCTTCTGGTAGGTCGGGAAGAGCTCCACGGTCCAGAACCGCTGACAGAAGGGACAGAGCGTCTCGTAGTACAGGGTAAAGTCCACGAGAGGGGCGTCCGGGTACTGCGTCCACTCACGTTCCTTGCACTGGTGGTACACCTGAGGACGGAAACAAAAGCTCAACGACACACATCGTTTTCAGGTGATGTCAACACAGTTTGGTCATGCCGACTGCAGACAGAATAAATGGTGCAGGGTGACCTTACTAAAAGACCTGAACAAACAGAATAAAACATTCACGTGAGTCATCGTCGTGAGGTTACATCGAATCAAGACATTATTTTTTCGTGTCCGTTAAACATATTATTTTTTTAATTAAATAAAAAGACAACAATATTTTTACAGACTCCACGGATTTGATTAAATCTAAGGCCCCATTTACACGTACAGTTCACTGATCGACAAACAGTTGGATTTCGAAAGAATGGCCGGCATCCTGTCAACTTCCCCGTAAAACTGAGCGTGGAAACAAAAGCAATCCTCTCGATATCGAAGAGTTCTCAACTACAAATCACACTAGAAGCATAATTTAATGCCAGATTACCAAGTTAATTTTTTTTGAGTGTGTTTAGAGTGTTTCGTCAAGGACGGACACTTTAACTTAAACGATAAAAAACTGAACGTCTTTATGGAACTTCTCTCGTCGACAAACTGTCAGTTTAAAGATGACCCACATCTACCGTCCGTCGGTTAAACGGTCAGTTTGTCGTTGAATTAATGGTACGTGTAAAGCGGAATGAAATTATCAACTCAGATCAAATATCGGGAGATTGATTACATGTATCAGGATGTCGACACTGTACCTAGATCAATGTGTGACTTTTTGTAAGAACCTCACATCCCATGCGGTACTTGAGCCTTGAGCCACCAGATAATGGCCTATCCAGGACACAGCGCGGTGTGCCTGGATTTTTAGTCAATAGTCATTCTGCAGTTCCTTCCTTTCAAGTGAAGGGTTCAAGCTCATCACTTTGTTCTTGTAAAATAAGTAAGCGTATGGAGTTAACGCCCCTGTTCACACTACTAAAATTTAACCATTTAATTATTAAAAACCAGGACCTCTGAAGTTAACGTTCATCTCCGATAGGACTGAGCCAAAAATGGGTTGAGAGCTTCGAAAACTCCACAAAATGACCCGACTTCAAAATAGCCCATTCTGGGTGTGAACCCAGGGCCACCCACTCGGTATTCCAGCATGATCAGTGGCAGCTCGTGGTTTGTGAAACTGACCGGCTATCATTACTCAGCTTTGACAGCAACTCTCCCCAATAATGTCAAGACTTTCTTTTCTGTCTGTTTGTTTTCTTTGTGTATCAGATGTCTCAGGGAAAAAACAAAGATAAACGGAGAAACTTGATGAAGGTTGCGTGATGGGCTGTCTTAACCTTCTCATTGATTTTCTTATCTCTGCCTGATCTCGAGCAGCGAGCTGTCAAGGTTTTGCAGTGTTTCTTAGGGCACCTCAGCTGGATTGATCAGGCATCGATTGTGTCTATGGACTTCCGTGAGAAAGTGTTTTGGGCTTTGCATATTTCAGCGGGTGGTCCTTGGTGGTAGGGAAGGGTGGGGTGAGGGGAGGGGGGAGG